CCCCCCCCCCCCCCCACAACATCAGGCAGGCCTCCTCCCTTCCTCACTTCAAATCTCTGCTAAAAACACATCTGTTCTCTCAGACATTTCACACAGTGTGAACTGATTTAGTGTTTTTTGTCTGTGATCTTATGTTTTAAATGCTTTTTATTAATTCTTCAGTTATTATTATTAGTGTATTGTATTTTTCTCTCATTAATTTTACTCCCATTGATTGTTGTTGTTAAGCAGTTTGATAACAGGTTCTGTTTTAAATGTGCTCTATAAATAAAGTTGACTTGGGACTCTGGAGGCAGCTGAGGAGTACCGGAGGGCCAAGTGGTCCGCAGCCTTGGCTGTTGCTGAGGCAAAAGCTCGGATGTGGGAGGAGTTTGGTGAGACCTTGGATAGAGGCTCTCGGTCGGCTCCGAGGAGATTCTGACAAACCATCAGGCAGCTGAGGAGGGGAAAGCAGCACTTTACTAACACTGTGTTCAGTGAAGGTGGGGTGCTGTTGACCTCAACCAGTGATGTCGTCGGGAGGTGGAAGGAATACTTCTCAGACCTTCCCAATCCCGCCAGCACATCTTCAATGGAGGAAGCTGAGTCGGGGGACTTTGGGATTGACCTGTCCATAACCGTGGCTGAGGTCGCCGAGGTAGTTAAAAGCTCCGAGCGGATGAGATTCACCCTGATTTCCTTAAGGCTCTGGATGTTGTGGGGCTGTCTTGGCTGATGCCTTTGCAACGTTGCATGGACATCGGGGGCAGTGCCACTGGATTGTCAGACTGGGGTGGTGGTTCCCCTCTTCAAAAAGGGGGACCGGAGGGTGTGCTCCATTTATAGGGGCATCACTCTCCTTAGCCTCCCTGGTAAGGTCTATTCAGGGGTACAGGAGAAGCGAGTCCGATCGTTGGTCGAACCTCAGATCCAGGAGGAACAATGTGGTTTCGTCCTGGCCGTGGAACACTGGACCAGCTCTTAGTTTGTGCTAACCGGATGAAAACCTGTGACACCTTTTTGTTCCATGCTACACACACAGATCCTGGTTTTCTTTATTTTTTGGCAAAAAAACCCCCAAAAAACCTTTTTAACAAGAAAAAGATTTGTCGGGTTTTATTGGACACATGCATAAACAAAACTTGATCGTGTAATTAATACGTTTTAATTTCTAAGACGTTTGTCTTTAATTTTTGAACCCTCTGTCTCCACAGATCCAGCTGTGGGACACGGCGGGTCAGGAGCGCTTCAGGAAGTCCATGGTGCAGCACTATTACCGTAACGTTCACGCCGTCGTGTTTGTCTACGACGTGACCAACGCCAGCAGCTTCCGCAGCCTTCCCGCCTGGATCGAGGAGTGTAAGCAGCACGCTCTGGGCGCAGAGCTTCCCAGGATTCTTGTGGGAAATAAGTGTGACCTCCAAGACTCTATCCAGGTGAGCACGGACGTGGCGCAGCAGTTTGCGGACGCTCACTCGATGCCGCTGTTCGAGACCTCTGCAAAGAACCCGACCAGCCAAGGAGACGGAAGCTGCCACAACAGTGACCATGTGGAGGCCATCCTTTTGACTGTGGCTCACAAGCTGAAGTCTCAGAAGCCCCTGGTGCTCAGTCAGCTTCCTGAGGCGTCAGGGGCCACGGTCAGCCTGAGCAAGGTGAGGGGTGATGAAGGGGACAGAGGCAGGAGCTGGGGCTGCAGCAGCTGCTGAGAGGACAGGAGACGTAGGACAGGACCCAGGAAGAACAAAGAACAAGGATAAATGACACCAAGAGAAGAGATTGCACTTCTTCACCACATGTGCTTCAACACTATCTAGTCTTTTTGACTATTTGCAGTTTGATTGTTGCCCAATTATCAGCACCCAACTGTTGCTCAGTTCATGGAAATATTCGTCAACGTGGAAGCATCGGATCTTTAAATAGGACTTGATACTAAAATACCAGAGCCCTGAAGGAACAACACTAGTTTACAAATTTTGCAAAATGGCTTCATATCAAGATTCAGTTTTCTGTTGTACTGTAGAAAACTTGTTCAGAAATATCCTCCTCAAGCTGAAACATTTGCTCTAAAAGAAAAAATAGAAAATATTGAGATTTCAGTTAGTTGAAGGACCCCTTCCATAGTTCACTGGATTAAAGTAGATCATATATATATGATCTACTAGATGATATATATATATATATATATATATATATATATATATATATATATATAACCAGCTTGACAAGACTGTCAACAAGGAAGCGGGCCAGCAATGGAGGAGGGGCGTACCAAAGAGACCATCTTATCACAAGCAGAACTGGTTTGTTCCACTTTGGAGTAAGCTGTTGGAGGAAGAATCAGTTTTGTTTTGTGTTTCTTTGACTGATGAAGTCTTCCGGATCGAAGGCGAAACGTTGCAGCACAAAAAAAGAAACTGTCCAGATGACCTGACTGAAAAATGTTGGATTGTACACCTGGATTATTGAGCATAGACTTTGATATAATTCGATATCGATATAAACAATATAAAAGCCTCAGAAAAACTGTACAAATAAATTAATGTTCACTTTTCTTTGTATTTAGCCTTCAAAGAAATTTGAAATCACCGTCAAATAAACATAAAACTCTCAACTTTGTTGATTAATTAATAGTTTTAACTTTAAACAACAACATATCCTAACAACACAGGCAGCGTGTTTCTCTTGATACAGCTGGGGGTGTTTCAGGGACACGTTGGCTCAAACTTTCATTGTGCTTCTTCTTCTGACTCTCAGCTGATTCTATCAAGTGGAACAAGTTAGATGTTCCCGCCGCTAGCTGGAATGACTCCGTCACATTTTGCAGCACACTGACTGAAACCTGCAGTTTATCAGATCTTAGATAGCCAAGGAAACTCTACTTTCTAGTTTTTATATTGCTTAAAAGTATAGTTTCCTCAAATAATTAGGGTGGCCAAAGATTAATCTCTGTTGGGCAAGGCCACCACTGGCCACCCCTTGGCTCCGCCCTTGGTCATGGGTAGAATCGCTCCCTCCACTCACCAGGATTGGTCACGCTGCGCCGCCTGGGACGAGCAAGAGTCGTTAAAGGTTCAAATCACTCAGTGATGGGGAACATCAGCGTACCGCTCGTTTGAAAATGGATTTGTGTGTGAGAATATTTGTGTCGCCACAGAGTCGAAACATAACCATTTGAAATGATGATATCATAGACTTAAACCTAGAACCCCAGTCAGGGCAGACACGTGGACAGTAACAACAGATTACATGCTGGGGTCTGTGCTTTTAAAACTTTCAATGAACAGACCAGGCTAAAGATCAACAACAGCCTCAAGAACAAAACGGCACAGGACAAAAAACAAATGGTGCAGAAAAATACAAAATATTCCAAATATACCTTGAAAAACATGGGAATAGTTTTATAAGACTGACTATAAATAATTTTTTCTGATGTGCTTGAACAATGTGGTGAAAACCCTCTCTGGGTGCTTGGCCTGACATCATCCATTGTGTCCTCGTGTTTAGACATGACTCCCAGTCCAAACCGTCCCAAACGTTTGGGGTCACGTAGTTTAATGTGGCCCCGAGTCAACGCTAGTCTTGCTGTTTACAGTTTGAGGTGCAGCCGGCTCGTGCTTCTGTCCAGCATGAAAGCTTTTTAAACGTCTCCACGTCTTTTCTGTTTCTGGTGTATTTTTGTGGCAGCGTTACAGCGCCACGTACAGACCTGCCATAGGTACTGCAGCTTTTAGACTCCTGCATCTCCGTGTGGATGAAAATATTTCTAGAAATGGTCGTATTTACGAGTATATTTTAGAAATAAATTAAAATAAAAATTTGGGGGAGAAAAATGTTGGTGTGTGGACAAGGCCTAAGATGACACGCAAGCGGTTCCTTCTGTCTGGAGTCCACTGTAAGTTTCTGTAGAACGTCCACATTGACAACATATCCAAGTATAAAAAAACCTGACTTAGTCTGACATTAAAACAATTTCTAACCCCTCTAAATGTTCACTTTATCTCTGATGCAACTGGTCACATGACCACAACTGGATGGCTACGGTCGGTCTAAAATGAGACACCTGCAGAAAAACTGGTACTAACGGGTCCTTTACTGAGGGCTAGTATAATTATAGGAATGTGTAAAACAGGCATTTAAAAAACATTTTACTTTGTAAACGTTTGTTTCTTTTATTCGGCTGCTCCCTTCTTCAGGGGTCACCACAGTAAATGAAGACTTGGTGATTGTTTTTACGCCGGATGTTCTTCCTGACACAACCACAGAGGAGCTGTATTGAGCTGCCACAGCCTCTGTGTGGAGCACAGAGCTGCTGTCTAGGGCGCCCAGGGGAGCAGATGGTTGGGGTTAAGTGCCTTGCTCAAGGGCCCAGAGTGTGGCGAATCAGGGTCGAGGCAGGTGTGGGTGCTTCATTTTTCCCACAAACATTTTGATATCGTTGGTCTGGGGAGTTGAACCAGCGACCTTTCAATCACAGGCTCGCCTTCTCTAACCTCTGCACCACCACTCCCCTTTAAATTATAAACTTTGTCAATGTTTACAATTTATTTATGTGTTCCGTTTTGTTTTTTCCCACCAAACTGGACGGGTGGTGCAAACGACAGAAAATGTTTTTTTGTAATGAGCAGAGTGGAGACGTACAGATGCAGAGGAGGCTCAGTGGGCGAGTCCCGGTGGGCCCACTCTCTGTGGGAGGAGAAACTGGTTGTTGCAGCTCATTTGAGGCCTTTACGTTCTTGTATTTACTGTATTCTGTTTTATTGTGCGCCAACCTTGAGGCTTTTCCCAGACGTGCCGATACACCAACACAACTGTTAAATAAAGAATTCAGACGAAGTGTCACAAGTTCATCTTGATTTGTGTATCGCTGCAGGATATGGGACCTGTTGTTAGCAGTGATTTACTTTATCATTTGAATTGTTAAAGAATGCAGATTTGAATGGTAATACACCCTGTTTCTAACCACGTGAAGCTCCGTTCAGCAAAAACAAAACAATCTGTGTTCCCACGTCTGTTTTTAGTTTTCATTCATTCATTTCATTTTATAGTTTTCATTTCAACATCTTATCTAAAAATGATGCAGAAAAACTGGTCCATGCATTTGTCACGTCTAGACTGGACTATTGCAATGGTTTATTACCTGGGTGTCCAAATACTTCTTTAAAACGTCTTCAGTTGATCCAAAATGCTGCTGCCAGAGTCTTAACTGGAGTTACTGGGAGAGATCATATCTCTCCAGTTTTGGCTTCTCTCCACTGGCTCCCTGTCAAATCCAGAATTTAATTCTAAATCTTCTAACCTACAAAGCGTCAACAACCTAGCTCCATCTTATATTACAGATCTTATTGTTCCATATTTTCCTAAAGGCTCCAGCATACTCGGGCGGACTTCAGTCCGCGTGTACCGGATTAGACTCAAAGCGGACACCCTCAAGCCCTGTCCATGCGAAGATCGGTTTTTACGACCGCATACGCGTACTCTGTGTCGCACGATAAACTGCCCGGCGACGGACTGTTTTGTATGCGACACCAATGTATTAAAATCTTCTTCATCCCTGGTCTGGTTTAATGGACTTTTTTATTTTGCCAAGAGGCAGTGATCTCTTCCTCCTCCATTGACGCCATGACTGAAATGGTGAGAAATTAAGACATTTGTCACAATCGAATTAAAATCAGGTCCATCATGGCTGTGGGAGGGTCTGGAGATTTCCTGGTGGACTGGTCTGATGTGTGGACTGCAGGACCAGCGCTCCCTGTTTTTTTTTTTTAATTCTTTAGAACTTTTTATTAACAACATATAAACACAGAACACCGCTGCGACTGCCAGCTCTCGTTTTTTTTTTTTTTTTTTGCGACCTGTCAAACAATCCAGTAGGCGTGTCAGCAAATAACCAATCAGCGACCTCAATTTTTCCCGAAGGTAAACGCCCCTTGCCTGCGGAGCTGACTGCAGCCGCTCAGGGTGGACGCTCGAGTATGAAGTCTCAACCCTCTACAGTGCACACAGTTTCCGTGCAGCTGACAGGACGCTCGAGTCTGTGGGAGCCTTAACAGAGCACTTCGCTCTCAGACTGCAGGCTTACTCGTCGTTCCTAGAGTTTCCAAGAGTAAAATGATTGGAAGATCTTTCAGTTCTCAGGCTCCTCTCTTGTGGAACCCACTTCCAGTTTCTGTCCGTGAGGCTGACACATTGTCCAGTTTTAAGACTGGGCTTAAGACTTTGCTTTTTGATAAATCCTTTAGTTAGGGTTGGCTTGTTATGCTATAGGCAGTGATGACAATCTCAGACTTCCCTCATGAACAACAGAGAGGGGAGTCTGTCAGAGGGGGAAGATTCATTCAGTGGACGAACTGCCGATTTGTGCATGTACACACACAGAGAACTTGCTGAGGAGTGATTGGTTCATGTAGTTCTGTGCTGGAAGTGTTGCTGTGTCATCTACATACATGAATACCAGACCACTTTATATATAATGAATTTAAAAACAGCAACAAGACCAACTAAAGTGCTGTACAGGAAAACAAAGCAAAGGACACAGGATAAAATACAGTGGTGGAGAAAGTAGTCAAACACTACTTAAGTAAAAGTACAAATAAACAGACAAAAATGTACTCTAGTAAAAGTAGAACATTAACATTTTTACTTAAGTAAAAGTAAATAAGTACTTGCTTTTAAAAATACTTAAAGTATTAAAAGTAAAAGTACTTCCTAATTACATAATGCAATGGTCTACATATCTTTAAGTGTGCCTACGTATATTTTGTGTAATACATTAATAGTGTTGTTCCATTTTAATGAACGATGCTGCAGATAATACATGTTTTTATTGTGTTTACTCTGTGACACAGTTCACACCTGGACTTGTGATTCTGTGCGTCAGAATTTCAGGGATGACCTGCAGAGTTAAATGTCAATAAGCAAAATAAGAAAGAGGAATTATTATATCTTTAAAGTT